CATGGCAGTAACACAGCAGCAACCTGTCTAAAACAGCACCCTTGAATGGACGTAGGGAAAAGGCTCTCCAATGCATCATGCTTGGAAACAGAGACTTGTTAACCTTTCATTATCTACTAGGTCTCCTACTGAACAGCTACCCTCCCGAAAACATACTTTGGTTTCACTTGTGCCCAAATACAGATATTACAAAAACCAGTTACAACACAAGTACACTGCAAACACTGGAACCAATGAAGGCTCCAGAGAACAGCTGCAGGAGGGAAGCAGCAATTAATTTCAAGCCAACTAGAACAAGTCACAGCACGTAAAATGAGTCCCGATGTAACCACGTCAGTGGCCAGTCTGCTGCTGTCTCTACAAAAGGATATCTCCGCTTCAGTAGAGGCAGCTGAAAGCTGCTCTGGTGATATTTCTACACGGTCTTTTCTCTTATCCGAGCGGCGCAGGATGATCACGGAGTGGATGTGCACGATGCGGCTGGTGTCAACCTGCCGGCACAGGAGGGAAAACAGATCATTGCTCTTCGACGGCAATAACCACCCCTAAGGCAAAGCCCGATTCCCGGCCGCCAGCAGAGCACTGGTACACACTAGAGCACAGCCAGGCACGCAAACGGGAAGCCTGCCTGACTCTACTTTGGTTTTCACAGCGGCAGGAGACGGGAGGCCGAGGCCCCGCAGCACGGTCCTGCTGTGTCCCGCCCGTCTCCCCCCCCCTCGCGGCCGCTCCCATCGCGCCGCCGGTACCTCGCCGATGCAGAGCCCCATGACCTCCTCCTTCTCGGTGCTCAGCGCATGGTTCAGGCACACCAAGAAGGCGTCAGCCTCCAGGTACACGGCCTGCACCGCCATCTTAACACCAGCCACCCCCCCGTCTTCCTCTACCACCCCCGGAAGTAGCCGGGGCCGAGCCCAACTGCCCCCGCCCTCACTCGGCATCGGGACCAATCGCAATGGGGCTCTCCGACCCTTCCAGCCAATCAGAGGGGCAAAAGCGCCCGCGGGCTTCCGGGGGTGCGAGCGGTGCCGCGCACCGGAAGCGCCGTGTCGCCCACGCGAGCGGCAGCCGCGAGGTTCCGCGCTGCAGCCGCTGCCCGCGGCGGGGCGGATCGAGACGGGGCGGTGCGGGGCGGGCGGCGGGGCGGAGGGGCGGAGGGGGGCCGGCGCGGCTCGGGGTGGGGCGGGGCTCTGCTGCGCGGCGGCCACTGGGGCCTGCGAGCAGCCGCGGGGAGGCTGCGGGTCACAGGGGGAGGGCGGGGGAAGGCTTTGCTCGGTGCACACGGCGCTGGCTGTCACCTGGCGCGGGGCTGCAGGTAGGTCACGGGCGGGCGGCCCGCGGGGCCCGGCCCGGCGGCTCCCGCTCCGCCCGGTGCCGTCTCATGCCGTGGGGCGGCCGCTGAGCCCCACAGGCCCGGCCCGGGTGGGAGGAGGTTGCTATGGAGACGTGCTGCGCACTCTTCCCGCCGCGGCGGCCGGACCTCTCCGGCCCTCCCCGCCTCCTCCCCGCCACGGCCGCACCGGTCCCGCACCGCTCCCCACCCTGCCTTCCCCCCCCGCTCCCCATCGGCCAGCCCGTCACAAGGCCCAGCTCCCGCACCCCTCTGCTGTCCCTCCCCTCCCTTCTCTGGGGCTCCCCCCATGCTGTGTCCATCTCTTTTTGTCTCCCTGTTTCTTTAGATCCCACCACAGACCTTCCCTCCCCGCGCTGCTGGACAGCCCTGGCTGGTCGGTGAGCATCTGCTACCCCTCAGTAGGTTGGGCAGAGCGGAGAGCGGAGTCACAGGGCTGCTTGCTCGGGGCGAGTGCTCCAGGCAGAGTAGAGTCCAAACCCCCAAGAAGAAGCTTTAGAGTGAGTCAACGTGCTCTTACACCACCAGACAGCTCATCCGATCCCTCGTCTTGCTTGTTGCAAGATGCAGGCTGCGTTCGTCAGGGAAGCTCAGCTCCCTTTTAACTCCCTAAAGGCTGCACCCCCAGAGGTGTGCAGGCAGCTTCACACTCCACCAGAAGGCCAGAGTGGGCGGCCTTGGTCCAGAAGCTGTGCTAGCACAACACTGTGCCTGATACACAGAGGCTCAGCATCGCTTCTTTCCCTTGGTGCCTAAATGGCATCTGAACTCTTCTAGCGATCTGACCCAGTCCCCTTTTAAAACAGAAGGCAATGAGGGGTGCATCGTGTTCAGCATGCTGACCTCCAGCCCTGGGCATGGGCCAAGCAATTTATTTCACTGTTTTCATAAAGTATTTTAATGTACCCAATTTAAAAGTAAATAAATTGTCTTCACCACAAGCTGCAGTCCTCCTCCCGGCCATTTCCACACTTATTCATAGGTTGTATGGCTTGGAAATCCACCCAGGACCCAGAACAGCATTGAATTTATAAGGCCTGATGCTGAGATGGACAGCATACCTGCAAGTCTTCTCCCTGTCCATGGGGATTTGGCTTTAAACCTTCCCCATTCAATATCTGAAACAGCTCAGACGTCTGCAATTATGTTAATGCACTTTTTTGTGTCAAAGGATGACGCTGCAATCCTGCAGAATTCATCTGCTTGGGGTTTTGTTGGATACAGTGTTTTTAAAAATAGATTGTGAAGCAAGCAGTATAAGAAACAGGTTTTACAACGTGTGTTAAATAGAACTAAGTTTACTCCTCCTTTCATCCAGGTCGTCCTTCCGGTGTTTTTTATTGCTTTGTGATAAAATCTGCCAAAATAAGCACTGTATCTGCCTTTGCCTGCTTAAAGTTTCAGGTGCAAGTGTCTGAGAGCATGTTCTTTAAAATCTCCTGTTTGTGTTGTATGTTTGAGTGCTGCAGACAGACCTGTCTCACTTCAAACCCAACTGATGGTTCTGCCTGACCTCAGGATTTTATGTATGGCACCTTCCTAACAGTCTTAGAGACTGTGGAAAAGAGAGGCTGGACCGAGCCTTTGAACTTTTGGCAAGTGAACTCAGAGCTCGGGAGTTCAGGGGAAGTTTGGGACAGATTAGTTGGGCAAACGGTGAAAACACGTTAACCACTGCCCATTCTGCAGTGTCCCTGTGTTACACCTTGTTCTGTCCGTCCTGTATCTATCCTCCACGTTCATACGCAGTAAACGTAAACGTACATGTTGTGCTTCAGCCCTCCAACCTGTAGTTCAGCAGCACTGAACCAGGTTAGTATTTGGACAGGAGACCTTCCAGGAGAGTTTATTTACTGTAGGAAACAGTGTTTGCTTACTGAGTCATGTTTTTCCAGTACTGAAGTCAGTCGTGAGTCTTCTGGTTCTGGGACCATGAGCTGTAGGAATTCCAGCTTTGAATGGAATGAAAGCAAGTTCTTCAGCGTTTTTGGTCATGATGGAGCTTTTGGCAGTTGACTGCAGAGTAGGAGAGTATCCTGGCCGAATTCCAACCTGGGTGATTACATTCAGCTGACTGAAAATGAGCAGCGATTGCTGCATTTCACTGTTGGGCAAAGTCATTTCCACGCATGAGATTAAATTCATAAAGTGGCTCAGGGTAAAGCAGAATGAAAAGGACGTACAGAAATGTCCCTTTAACCCTCATGGGTTATTCCTGAAGGCCTTGCAGGGCTTTTCAGTTTGCTGTCACATTCCTCTAAATGCTAGGGATCCAGCTGCTGGGCCATTGCTTGGAATGGCTGTCCCCTGTCACCGGGTGGTCTTCAGAGCAGTGGTGCTTTTTATAACACACATACATATTCCCACACATCAAACAAGGAAACAGAACAGGAGAAAAAGAAATAATAAAAGAACATCCAAAGTTTCCTTTCTTAGAGATTAAAACACTGTGACAGTGCTGCTCGGCCTGATCTGTGGTTGGTGTTTTGATTTCCAAAAGGCCGAGTGATCCTTTGATTCAGAAAGGTAGAGAAGTTCTGGTGTAAGATGTAGAAGGCAGCGTGGAAGCATGTTTCCTGTTATATTGATAGCCCAATGTATAACGGTTTTCTTTCTCTCTCCCTGACTTTCCCTACTTTATTTTGTACCCAGATTTTCTTGCTCCTGTCTGAAATGTGCCTTGTAACTTTACAAGTTTTCAGAAGACCACTGTGTTTCACTGGGATAGGAATACTGCATCTGCTTCGTAGCAGGAGGATGTTATGTGTATTACAGCTTAATTCTGTTCTACTTTAAACCTAGATAAAGAATGAAGACTGTCTGTACCATTTTGATTACCTCTTCTAGGGTTCAAAGAGAGAACCATTTCCCCTGACCTTCATTTGCTAATGGCTCAGCTTGATCTAACTGGTATACAGATAAACTTGCTGTTACACAAAAATTCCGGTAGGAAGAACCACCTCAATGTCCAAAATTCCTTTGCCCCTGCTGGTACTGGTGGCTCTCTGTAACCATCTAAAAGCTGAACTACGCAAAGTCCCAAGAGCTGTTCACAAGAAGCTTGTGTGTGAATGAACAATGCTGCCATCGTCTTGAGAGATGAGACGAAGGACCCGTCACAATGACAGCTCTGCAAGTTCCAAATATGAGAGTCGTGCATACGGAGTTTCATGCTTTGTCTCCAGAGTGATCTTCGTTCTTGTTAAACTAATTCCACCTCTTGTCACAAGTTTTGCTTTTGGATTTAGACCATCATTAAGCCACGGAACTCCTGTGTAAATCACTTTTTTCCTTTCCCCCCTCTCTGTTTTACACAAAGACTGTTAACATGACTGTTAGTGGAATAAGCAAAGCCAATATTCACAGGGTTTAACTCTCTACCAATAGCACCTTTTGCCCCAGAATGCCTTACAAACACCATACAGCACGCATGTCCCAGAGTACGACTTGTCATGCCATTTCTGTTCACTTAGGCACCACCTCAGTTTCCCAGGCTGATGCTTAGGGACATTTCAGCTCATAGCATCTCACACCATAAGTCAGACGCCACCCAGAGGTGCCTTTCAGGTCTGAGAGCTTTCTCCGTGAATGTATTCCGAGCTAAAGAGACCATGTGTGCATCCTGCGGGATGATGCCATCCACCTAACGGGAGCATCCTGACGTGATGGAGGGCATGGCAGCAGGAGGGCATGCTGGCACTCCTCCTGTCCGACTGTGGGTGCGACGAGTAGGTGTTTACTGCGATGAGCACCGCAAAACGTGGCTTGTGGCTGCGGAAGAGGCAAGTGTCCTTTGAGCTTCCCAGTGATTGTAGCTTTGCTGTTGCAGGTGCCTCTACTGCATTGCCGGTAACTGCCTGCTCTTTTTGTTACTTTCCCCCAGGAGGAAGGTATGCTGAGGGCTCGGATCCAAAGAGTTCAGGTTCCCCTGGGTGAGGCGCTGCGACCCAGCCAGCTCCCCCCATCCCGGCTGCCTCATATGTGGCAGCTGTCCCAGGGTGAGCAGTACAGGGATAGTAACTCTCGCGTTTGGGAGATAGAGCACCATCTCATGGTAAGGATGGTGGCAACAATAGGCCATAGTCATGCCTGTTTGTGAAGTCGTTTGAGATCCTTGAGGGACGGCAAAGGACTGTTAATTTGTTGAAGTCCGTTAGCGCAGCCACAGTAACTGTAGACGTATTGAACTTTTCCTTGTCGCTTACAGCTTGGTGGTGTTGAAGAACTGCTGCTTAAACTCGTGCCTGGTGATTAATCTGGTATGTGTAGACGTTATCCCTGCTTTGTACTGTGCTCTTGTTTATCCCCAGCCATTCTTTAATATGAATTTTTGTCTTTCAGGAGCAGTGGCTCTAGGAAGATGTCGTTGTATATTTTGTACAATAAATGATTCTCTCACCACTGAAATGCAGCCACCTCTGAGGTGGAAGCAGTTTAACAACACACAGCAGCATCACACAAGAGTTTAGGACAGGCAGTGAAGAGGAGTATTGTGTCCAAGTGAAACGTCAGGGGGAGTTCTAGGTAGGCAGAATGTAATTGCCCTAAGTGGAGTTTGGCCAGGATGCTGGAAATAATGCCCTAGCAACGTTGGAAAGTGCTGTGGGCTGGTGAATGGTCAGAAATTGGAAAGGCAGCACCTCCCTAGTGCTGGGCTGAAGTCCTGTGATCGCTTCCAGTAACAGCGGTGCTTTCCTGTAGAGGTCTCCCATCCAACTACTATAGTAGCGCCACCAGTTTCTGCTTGTCCTTTGATCTCTTAACAGAACATAACAGTTACAGCTGTGTCTGACCCCTGCTTCCTGGGGGTTTGAACAGGATGGAGCTGTCCTCCCGTCTGTGGTGGTGTTTGGGGTGTTTTGGGAGGGAGGGATTTCCAAGAGGCTTTGTCCTGGAGCGACATCAGAAAAAGCCCTCCTTGTTGTCTTTATGGGACCTACACAAGTCATTCTGTTTGGTTGTTTTTTCAAATGCCTATATATATGTGACTAACGCTGAGTCCTTGGCTGTGTAGAGCTCACAGAGAGGGCTTTTACACAATACATGGTATAGTATAAGGTCTAGAGGCACAGAAGTGTTAATTTGAATCTTTGCTGGAATCTTTGTGCATCCAAGTGGGAAAGGACACGTTTTGGCCAGAAAAAGGCCTCCAAGCCTAGTGACATAAAACTTCCTGTATTCATTGTCCACATTATCATCCTTTAGCCAGACACAGAGAATTCTTGTGTATGTTGGCAGGCATCTGCAAGCAGCAGTAGGTGTTTTCTGCACTGTGACAGAGAGGGAAATTAGGAGCCCTTTAAAGTCTTGGCTTTGAGACTGTCTTGCTCCCCTGCCCCCTGAAAAGCACGTTGTTTCTACAGTAACATTTTCCTATCCTTTTAGTTCTCTGAACATGCCCCAGAAGGATCCCTGCCAGAAACAAGCCTGTGAAATACAGAAATGCTTGCAAGGTACCAAGTGTCATTTTATCTCTTTGGTGGAACTTAATTCTTTTAACTTAATCCTGTTCTCCTTTCACCTTGAGAAGGAAGAAAGCACATTAGCATCACCTGGATGCAAAGCAAACAAAATTGTGATCTCTGGCTTTAATAAATTCCCTTGTGCTCGATTGTAAATAAGGAGACACCATTAGTACCCAAGAGCGCATTTGTAACAGTAATATTGTGCTTATTTCAGAGTGATGTTATCAATGCTGGTAGTGAGATCTGAAGTGTAGTCTTGGGACTGAGCTGTAGGTGTGGAGAGCTAGACATTATAATGAGCTGTTTCACAGAGTGGGTAGTGAGGATGGTGGGTGGATTGCATGAGAAGACTGCAGAGCTTCTAGATGCAGGCGTGTTTTAAGAGCAGGTCAAACAGACGTCTGTCAGGAATGGGTTTGGTGTGTGTGATCTGGCCTCAAGGTATGAGCTGGTCTCCTTCTGAAAACCTTTAACAGCTACTTTTTATATCTGAGCTAAATAAGGAGGGAGATTATGTGATAATGTGGGTTTTGAGCCTAAGTTAGGAAGAGCAGACTTGTCGCTTGCAGAGGACAATACTGCTTCTTGGAAAAGGGTTTGCTTTATAGAACGAGTAGGAAAAAACATTCCTCTGTGCCAAGGCAGCTCAGCCATATGGGAAAGAGCTCTTCCTAACTCACCTGGTAGAGACCTTGACCAGTGTGCTCTGAGCTTCATGTGAGAGTAACTCGTGGTGTTAGCCCAGGGACAAGGAAGCAGGAGGTGAGTGATGCCACAGCTAAAATCAGCCAGGCCGGTTGCATGGCAACTCATTTGTGCCTTTATTTTATTTACAGACTACAAGCAGGTTAGCTAAAATATAGCTGGGGCGGATCATAGGAGGGAAAGCATCTGGGAGAAGTAGGGAAAAGCAATAGTCAGTTACTGGTAGATGTCTGTCTTTCCCAGGATTGTTTTGCAGCTGTGTTCAGCTCAAAGCAAAGGCTCAAGCAAACCCCTCTACATGTCCCTGACATTTGTTTAGATGCTGCCTTTTACTGTTTTTATTGTTTGGAGCATTCTCCCATGAAAGGCTGGCTTCTCTCCCCATGGTGACTGCACTTAAAAAGCTACTGTTTGACCCTGGTTTGGTCCAATCTCTGACAGTGTTCTTTTTATAACATTCATGGAAGTTGTTGCAAGTGTTTCACCTGTGTAGGTTTGCGTACAGGTTTGATCTGAATGGTGAAGCGTTAGCAAAGAAGCTCTTTGACCGTGCTACATGCACAGTGTGTGCGTGTGCACCACTTCTCTAGCTTTCATTTTGCAGTGCTGCTGTTACTCATGTATTATCATGCTGTGGAGTTGTCTGAGTTGCACAGAGAGGAAAGCAGAGAGATTTGCATAGAGCAGAGACAATGATTAAATGCTTTTAAACAGCTCTTGCTTTCAGAGAAACATGCTGCCCAGCAGCTGAAGGGCTGAGCTGCGTTTGTCCCCTCCAGGGACAAAACCTGTTCCCCTCTCCAGACTTAGTTTCTCCTTCTTATTTTCCAGTGAACAACTACATGGAGTCTAAGTGTGAAGCTGTGATTCGAGAAATGCGGAAGTGCTGTGCCCAGTACCCCAGGGGCAGATCCATCTGTTGTTCAGGGTTTGAGAAAGAAGAAAGGGAGAGAGAAAAGTTAAAGGTGACGTCAGAAGGAATTCCCCCATCACCTCAGTAACACAATGCAGCTCCAGCAGGTGCCGGAGCAGGGACTCACCTGCAGAGCTCGTGTGTGGTTTTTTCAAGCCTTCTTTAGACTTTCAGGAAAGCCAGATCGCTCCAAGGACACACCACCCGGCACACCAAAAAGTATACCGTAGTACCAACAGATGGCCTCCTTAACAGACTGTAGTTTCTGTACCAAAATGTCATCTGCATTGTCTTTGCATTGCACCTGTGTCTGTGAAAAGTCAACTTGATGTTTTTAGGATGCTTACCTTACTCTATTCCATCCTTGCTCTCAAAATGGAGAACCGGAACCGAGTTATTCTAGCTTCTAGAGTGAGAGGTACAGGAAATGAGCTCAGACAAGTGAGTGAGTTTAAGCATGACACATGAAACAAGCCCATCTTGACACAGCAAAGGTATTGCTGCCATCGTGCAGTAGTTCCAAACATGTGCCTGTCCAGTGGTTCAAGCTCAAGAAAGGGAATCGGGTCTGGGGATTGTTCCTAGGTCTCGCATAGATCACGAGTGATTACAGTCACTTTGCCTAAGTGCCTCACTTTCCCACTGGACAGACTTTTGATTACTTTCTATTTGAATTGCCTACACGCTGCTATTTGCATGACAAAGATGTTACAGGAACATTATTTCAGGGATTGCTACAGGAATAGGTTTTTTTTAACAAAAAGCAATATTCATTTGAAAGATCTGACTGTTGATATAAAATTTATAAATTTATAGTTGAAAACCTTTAAGCAATATGTTACAAACCCAGCATCGTTCAACCCGCTGGTACCCAGAGGCCTATCACAAAGCCCTGGGCTAGATCCAAGAACTGATTTAGGCGCTGCTTACTCAACAAGCAGTTGTAGGCACTTGCTTTCAACACTTTCAGACTCACTCCCAAGCCGGCTGTGTCTGGACCCCAGGGAGAGATGGCTTTTCAGAAGCTCTCACCTGTGCAGCAAAATTTCCTGTGACCTGTAGGAAGAGCTCAGTAGACAGGTTCCTGCATCACCCTTCAGAGCTGCTTAAGTCTCTCTGACCCCTGTAACAGGAGTCCAGGCACTTCAGTGGGTGCCATGTCCATTACAGGGCTTAGGCACCTAAATACCAGACTTAGAACCCACTAGGCTCCTAACTCTGTCATTAGATCTAGCCGTAAAGGACTTTTGTGCTGTGATCAAGTACAATTTATGAAATACAGCTTCAGTAAACAGACCACTGTAGTCTAGGCACAATAGTTGAGTGTATTGAAGCCTAGAAGAGCCAACCATCTGTATTCACTGCTCTGAAATACCATGATACAAAATAAATGACTGGAACAAACTGTGGTCTCAGCTTGGTTGTTCATTGAGAATACAAGGTAGCTGCAAGCCAGGCGGCTTGGCTGCCATTCACCGTCCAGGGCTGAGTGTGATATCATCATGTTTAAACAGAAGCTGCTTGGTATTTTTATAACTCATGCTCAGGATTGGAATAATTCAGGGCTGGCCTTTTCCTCCCACTGCCTCCCCTCAAAAAGCAAACCCTTAAGACAACATAAGGGCTTTAATATTCTTGCAAAGGAGGGGAAAGTGATCACAATGTGTGAAGCACCTCAAACACTTGGGTGAGTTGCTCGTTTTTCCATTGTGTCTTACCTGAGCAGGAGCAGTGGAAAGAAAGTTACCAACAGATGATAAAAAATAAATATATAGGCTTCTGTCATGCCTATTGATAAGCCCTGTCTCCAGGCCCAGTTCTACTCAGGTGGTACAAACTTGCTCAGCAGAGAGGCTCAGGAGCCAGGGTGGCAGTAGAATCACCTCCCACCCCAGAAGCATCAACTTATTTGGAACAGGGGTGATTGGTACCAAGATCATCAAAGAGAGGGGTTTATTAAGGCAGCCCATGGTCACTTGCGGAGAGGGGGGGAAGGCTGGTGGCCTCAATCATTTAGGTTGGAAAAGACCTTTCATCACCAAATCCACCACTAAACCATGTCACTAATTGCCATGTCTACATGTCTTTGTATACGTCTTTACGTTCACCGTGCTCAGTACAGGGAGGTGATCACTTCCCTGGCCCTGCTGCCACACTATCGCTGATATGGGCCAGGATGCTGTTGGTCTTCCTGGCCACGGGGGTACACACCTGGGCTCATGCTACTAGACTGGCTGGAACTGCTTCTGTCAGTCAAATGCAAGATGCAGGGTAAGACAAAACCACTCTGGTTCCCTAGAAGTCAAGAGACCACACATAGAAGCTATTAGAGTAAAGCTGTTTAATAAAATATCACTTCAACAAGCATTTACATACAATATATAAAAACACTTTAAAAGCCTAGTGTGATTTAAACCTTCTCATACTGTAACAGATGCCAGAAGTTGTTGAAACAAAACCAAAAGGAGCAGGGGTGGGGAAGGGTGGGAACACCTCACCTTGACACCTGCAGCAATGAAAATGCATCCCTAAAGAGGCTGATTCAGCATCAAAGCTTCCAGTGTGGGCCCCAGCATCAAATGGTGCCATCCACAAGCCCCACACCAGAACAGCAGAAAGAATACCAGATCCCAATGTCCTTGTTCATTCCCTTCCTGCATTCACATCAAACTCAATATAGTTTTGTCCTGTTTCCCCTTTCAGCAGCGTTTTAGCTCCCTCTCTGGGCAATTTCTCTCCATAGCAGCAAGTTGGGACTTCATGGAGCAGCACCCAGCACACCCTTCCCTGGGGCTGGGCAGAAATAGTGACTTATTTGAGCCTAAAAGTCATCGGTACACTCTGTTAATGATTTACTTTGAGCTTTGCCATTGCAGAAAGCTTCGTGGAGATTAGTGCCTCTCACAACAAGAAGTTGTGTTATGCAGCACACCAGGAGGAGGGGCAGCAATACTGTTTTCCTACAGGAACAAGAGGTACCCTGCAATAAAAGTGTATCTATTCATGCATCTATTCTGCAGGGTTCCTAGAAACAAAACACCAAACCAAAACCACCACCATCACATGTCACTCCCCTCCCAAACACCAATTTCCTGAAGACTTTTGCTGCATCACATCAGTCCTGCAGCCCCAGGTGGCTTTTAGGAAGACCATCATTCAAAAGACTTCAGCCCAGCTGTTCCTTCATTCTCCTTGGCCATGTACAGCAGGACAGGACCAAGAGACCTGTCCTGGGTTCAGCAGTAGCAGTCATTTTTCTCCTTCTCAGTAGCTGGTGCAGGGCTGTGTTTTTGACTCTCAGCCTGGGAACAGCGCTGATAACACCGATGGTTTTAGTTGCTGCTCGGTGATGTTTACTCTGACCAAGGACTTTGTGAGCCTCATGCTCTGCCAGGAGGAGGGGAAGCCAGGAGGAAGCAGAGACAGGACACCTGACCCAAACTGACCAAAGAGGTGTTCCATACCACAGCACGTCATGCCCACTATATAAACTGGGGGAGTTACCTGGAAGGGCTGAAATCACTGCTCAGGTCGGGTTTCCTCATTATCTGCAGTCTTTTTCAGATCCTGAGGGTGAGAAAACCTCGGCTATGTCAATGTGTTGCTACACTGACACTCCAGTCAACATGAGCTGCAAGTTCCAACACCTCTGGTGGAAGAACCCACCATTCCAGCAGCTTCTGGGGGAAGATGCCCGTTTCTGGCCATACTGAGAGCAGCAGCGGATGATCAGACAGGCATTACACAGTGCTGGAGATGGGGTGCAGCATCCCCATCACCCACGCACATCATTGTTCTCTGGCATGTTTCCTACTGAAGGATGGATGACTTTCACACACAGAAGAAATCCTTGGCAAGAACTCCTACATGTACCTGCTTGGAGGACAATATCATGCTGTCACCCAAGTCCCCACGCTCTGCCAAGCAGCAATGCCAGCCCAGCCCAGCCAATGCAGGACACCTCTAAGGGATTTTCTGTCATTTTCTCTTGTAGGTCAGAGTTCTGCTGTGCACACAGCTGCACTAGGGCAGACTGTCCAAAACCAGCCAAGCTCTGCATCTGGGAAAGGGCTGCAGTGGATAGAATTAAGCAAGCATCTCTTTTGGTGGAGACTGTAAACGCAAAGGAGGAAGACCATAACCAAAGCAGAAAGTTTGGAAATGAGCCTCTCCCACAAGCACACAGCCTGGTTGTCTCAACAGTTTTGTCATTTCAGTTGCTTGCAGAGACTGGGGAGATAGAGTCTGAGCTCTACAGAGGCAGGAAAAGGACTGAACTCACGTTTTCCCCTGCTACCACTCCAGCAGAGCTGGCAAGAGGGACCCTGGACCAGTACAACATACCCTAAAGATACATGCATTTCCTGCCTATGATCCTGGCCCACATGATTACAGCTCTAAGAGCATCACCAACTCCAAAGTGGCTAGAGAAGGTCATGGCAGACCTAAAAACATCAGTGTGAAGCCCAGGGTGATTTACAGGAAGTCAATACAGCTGAAGCACACGCTGCTAACCTGATATGAACAAATCTAGCACACTGGAAGCCTGCCCTCCACAAGAGAGCACCTCAGCACATTTCAAAGGCTAAGCAGTCAGTGAGCAAGTGAGAAGCACTTGCTCTAACGCTCTAGAAGCACACTCCAACAGAACAGGAAGCTTGGTGACTTTCAGAACACATGATGAGGGAAGGGCCTGGACAGCCACCCGCAGTGCTCAGTTTCCATCAGCAGTGCCAGTGCTGCAGTTCCAGTAAGGGTATAAATAACGGCAGAGAAGCAGCCAAACGGCTATCTAAGTGCAGTGCAATGGCAGGGGGAGGGCAGGAGCACCCCCAGCACCACATATAGCATGAACTTGCTCCTTATGAACATAGCCCGGCCTGTCCCAACACTCCAGCATCCACCCCAGGAGAGCCAAGCACAGTGTGGATTGCACACACCATCTCTGTGCAGAGGGATGAACAGGCTTTCCAGGTACTGGGGCACAAAAAGTGCGAGCTAAGCAGCAGTGAACAGCTGGGAGATGGTGTACACATATCCTGGCAGACAAATGTACATGTAACAGCCCTGAGCACCTGGGAAGAAGCTCGTTTAAGAGGTTTCTCTGCCATTACATGTTTAAGAGGCTGCAACTCATCAGAAAATTTGGGCTGGGTGTATTTAGTGGGGAAAGGAATCACAATGATACACCGGGAGTCATGAGCTTTCAGACAAATCCCAGCACCTTAATAACCCAGAGGAAAAGGTTGGAAATCAGAGGCAGTGTTGTAAGAAAAGAGGCTGCAACCTACGAACAGAATGAACTGAACATGTTTACAATATCCTTTGACTTCTAAGTGAGAGAAAACAACAGCAGAGGAGGGCAGGGAAGGCTGGGCATGGAGAGTCAAATGCAGTTTCTAGGATGCCATTCCAAGCAGGAATCCTCCAGCAAACCCTCCAGTCACGATAACATTCTTCTTTAGAAATATGATCACCTAAGCATGGGAGAGAAGAGCCAACAGTGTTCAACAGCAGCAGGTCACCCACCCTCCCCAAAAGAAGACACCCCTCAGGCTCTTCTCCAAGCCAGAGGCCACTGCTTGGGTCAGGGAGAGTACTCCCCTTGTGACCTCCCCTCCCTAATTTAATCACTGTGCGTGCAGCTTCTGAACTGACCCGGTCCCAGTGCAGCTCACATCCTCACATCCTCCAGGCCTACACGCTCCAAGGCTATCTCCCAACCAGCAGCCAGTCTGATACAAGGGGCTGCTAACTCTGTGCGCCAGAGCAGTGTACAGCAGAGCCCAGGGTACACTGGGCCACCCTGCTGCCAGCTCTGCTTAGCTTTTCTTGTTGGGCTGAAGAGACACCTCTCCCACAACCCCAGCGTGTTCTGTCCCAACCCCAAGCAATTTGAAGCGACCCATGGTAAGCTGCTGTCATGCCTAGATGCCTCCCTGGCTGTCCCAGACATGCAGAAATAGAATCATAGAACAGAATCATAGAATTGTTTAGGTTGGAAGAGACCTTTAAGATCACTGGGTCCAACCATAAACCTTACGCTGTCAAGTCCACCACTTAGCCATGTCGCCACATGCCACATCCACATCTCTAGGGGTGGTGACTCCACTACCTCCCTGGGCAGCCTGTTCCAGGCCTTCATAACTCTTTTCAGTGAAGAAATTTTCCCTAACACCCAATTTAAACCTCCCTGGTACTGCTTGAGGCTGTTTCCTCCTGTCCTATCTCTTGTTACTTGGGAGCAGAGACCAAACCCCCACCTCTCTCCATCCTCCTTTCAGGCAGTTGCAAAGAGCAATAAGGTCTTCCCGAGCCTTCTCTTCTCCAGACTGACCCCCCCAGGTCCCTCAGCCGTTCCCCATCACACTTGTGCTCCAGGCCCTGCACCAGCTCTGGTACCCTTCTCTGGCCCTGCTCCAGCACCTCAATGTCTCTCTTGTAGTGAGGGGCCCAGAATCAAACACAGGATTCGAGGTGCGGCCTCACCAGTGCTGAATACAGGTGAACAATCACTTCCCTGTCCCTGGTGGCCACACTATTGCTGATACAAGCCAGGATGCTATTGGTCTTCTAGGCTTTACTAGCTTAGGCAGACAACATGCACAGCCTTTGCCACCTCTCCAGTTTTGCTGTCATGCAAGCATTCCTCCCTTGCAGTTGCACAACAGAGGATCCATAAAGGCCCAGGAGTCAATCCTGTTTTCTGATGTCCCTTCAGCTAAGCATCTGCACACGCCCTGGAAGAGCTGTCTCACCTCATCCACTCTGCTTTTCACTTCTGGAGACATTTTGTTACCACTGCTGTGAAATTTCAGCTGCTGCTTGGCTTTGTTCATGTCCCGTTCTACCAGCTTCCAGTCCACTTTGATGTATCCCGTGTGATTTGCAATCTAGAGTTTTGAGGGGTGGAAAGAAAGTTCCTGGAGTAACGCCCTGGGTGACCATGGCTAAACAGAAGCCCCCCTTACCCACCCATCGTCCCTGCCCATTGCCACCCACCACACACTGCTCCAGTGGGCTCAGAGGATGAGCACACGAGCTTAAAAACTTGACAAAGGACCCACCCCTGCAGCTGTATTGACTCTCCTGCAACATCCGTGCTCACAGGAATCCCCTACCAGCAGGACACACGTTGCAGTAAAGCCTGTTTCAGCCTCTATTCTTTAATGCAATGCTGGCATCTGCCTTTCACAACTGCTATGGATATTGTCGGGACTCTCTGTAGCTCTCCTGCTTCTGTGGGTGGACACAGCTATTAATAGCCTGCTCCTCTCTATTTTATTTGGGCAGGATGATTCAGCAGTGAAACTCTCCATGCTCAGAGCAAGCTTTTGGCTTCCAACAGAACAAGCAGAGCCAGAAGAGCGGGGAGAACAAGTCACAACACGAGACAGCTCCTGAGAAGCAAACAAGTAAGGCTGTTGAGCAAGGCCTGAGAGCTGCTCTGCTCCTGCAGCATGTACAAGCTACATATGCACATCAAGGAGCTCCCCTCAGTGCCAAAAGCTCTTGGAAACCTGGAGAAATGACTGAGGACAGAGAAAGATCTCTGTTTCTCTTCCCTAGTGCTTCACAAAGAGCCCCATTTGTGCTGGCCTGACTCAAGTAGCCAGTTTGACAGGGAGCACATCACAGACATGGACAAACCCCTCTTGACATCTAGGGCTGTTTCTCTTATCTCCATGAGACCAACTACAGGACTAAGTACAGCAGCAGCATGGTTCACCTGCTCCCTGCTTCACTCAGATGCCCCTGCAGTAATAGCCCCAACGTGCCTTTGGCCTGGCCTTTGTCAGCAGCCCCTAAACCAAACAGCACCTTTTGGCAATCCTCAGGTTTACACACACTGCTCCTGCTTTGCCGCTGCATCTACCCCAGGGAACACTCACCCCTGAAATCCACGGTCACACAGAGCTCCACATGGAGCCCCTGGAAGAGCAGGGAACTGGACCCACATGTCCCAGCAGGTAATCATCACCAGACAGCCCACAGCAGAGCTCTGGTCCCCACCAGAGAGCTCTCAGAAAGCCTGGCTCGCTGTTCATACACACCTGAAGTAGGAAGAAGCCACCTCCCACCGCTGTCGCTGCCAGCTTTCCAACTTTCTGGAAGACGAATCCAGTACACCTACAAATCAACCACGTTCCAGTCAGGAGAATGAGATGACAAACACACCCTCCCCAGCACGCTGCCCACAGGCAAGGCTGCCTTTGGCAGTGGTTACCCAGGACTCAGAGGCAGCTGATGAATAGCACAAGAAATGCAGGTGCAACCAGACAGTAAGGATCTGCACCCAGCTTTACAGCTTTTTGCTGCTCACTGTCACATTTCAGCCTTTTGCAGTTTTGAGTCTTCTCTCTTCAGTGTCAACTCCCCAAAGGAGTCATTGGAAACACACGCTTTCACCAGAGGCAGAGGTGATTTTAGCTTTGTCTTTTTCAACTGGCATCATCTCTGAAGGGAAACCAGGCAGCACATCTGCTGCTGCTCCACGACAGAGCATGGGAAGCAGACCGCAAGGTGAGCTGATTGTTGCCCAAACAACTACTTGCTTTTCATTTTTCAGAGGAGAAAACTGCTGAAGCAAGCAGACGGCAGTGGTCTAAAGCTGTACTGGTCTCCAAGGCTACACATTCTCAACATGAAAGACATCACTGAAGCCACCAGAACTCAAGCAAGCGACACCCCATTAGCAAAGGGCTAACGTATTGTATCACTGAAAGCAGACTTTGACCACAGTTTCCTTACCAACACTGCAAAACAATACAGCAACCTTCTCTCACCCATTTCTGAATACATACATTTAGTGAAGATACAAGGGAGAGATCTGTCCTACGCTTGTAAACTCGCCCCATGCCAGGAGAAGCAGCACAGCATTGTGATTACACCAAGTTTGCAACTCAAATAGTGCTGCTGTGGGAATGAAGCTGTGAACAGAGCCACAAGCCACCAGCACTTGCTCCAAGTGGCACAAACCCCATCAACCATGCCTATAGATACAATAAGCCACCTCCACAGGAGGTTTAGTGCACATGTCTGAAACACATCCACCTCCAGGGAAGAAGGTATCCTTGTTCCAAGAGCCTCATATTTACCTGAGTTTAACACCACCACTTTATGGCAGGAGTTAAAGAGAATTCTCTCACCTCAAAAATTAAAGCCTGATGCCATTTTCTCCCCTAGGAGACAGCCTCAGTTCTTCAGCTCCGTGTTAGAGACAGCTTTTAAGACCATGCCAGGGCACATTGGGCTGAGCATGCTGGACACCTGTCTTCTCTGAAAGGCTGCCAGATGCACCCCCTGCAGCTGCCAGCGCCTTCCCAAAAGCCCAGCATCCTGCCCTGCTACAAGCAGCGACAGCAGCCCCCAGCACCTCTCACCATCCCGTCACCCCTCCGATCAGCAGCTGCGTGGCCACGTTGTACTTCTCAGCGCTCGACCCCGAGCTGGGGCCGAAGATCTTGCGCCACCAAGGCTGCTTCTTGGTGTACTCCGCCAGGTCCAGGACGTTGAAGGAGTCCTCCGCACCTGCGGGCACACGGACAGGCTCAGCGCCGGCACTGCTGCCCCACAGCCCCCTGCCAGCTCCCCCGGGACACGGGACCCACACCCAGCCCCATAGCCCCGCAGGGTCTGGCATCCCCCTGGGACGCCCCACGCCCTCCACCGAGGGCTCCGGAGCCCCTCTGGCCCCGTGCTGTCTCTGCGCTTCCCGTTTATTCCCGTGCGGAACGGGCTGAAGAGCGCTGTCCCGCCGCGGGACGCTCCCCGGCCAGGCCCCGCTACCGCCCGCCGCGCGTAGCCAACGGAAACGGCCGCACGCACGGGGAGGGGAGGAAGCCGGGACCCCCACCGCCACAGGGAGAGGAACGGAAGGACCCCGCCATCCCCATCCCCATCCCCATCCCCATCCCCATCCCCATCCCAATCCCCATCCCCATCCCCATCCCCATCCCACCTCCGCCCCGCGCCGCCATTCCTCCGCCAGCGGCCCGCCGCGGCCAAGTAACCCCACACGGCGGCGTAAGCGCGTTCACCGGGGGAAGGCCGCTGTGACGTAGCGGCGGCGGCGCCGCGGACGGTACCGGGGCCCGCCGGTTCGATTCAACCCCGCCGCGCCATCCCCTCCGCTACCGCAGCGGCACCGCCTGCCCACGGGGGTGCCCACGGGGGTCCCCGGGGCCCTGCGTGGGTCCTAAAGGAACCGGTTCGGGTACACGGTGCTGGTGCCGCACTGGGGAGCCGATGGTACCCAGCGGAGGGACAGAGCGGGCTCCAAGGGCTTTGCTCCCCCGGACACGGGGCTCGTTTTCCCGTGTTGGTCACCCCGAGGAGCGGGGCACGTGTGTGGTGCGGCTGGGGACTCAGGCACGTTGGACGTGGCACGGAGCCCTGCCCTGATGTGCCCCTGACACCCCGGCGGTGATGCGGGCAGCCGGGCAGTAACACATCTGGTTGTCTGCCCTGGAACAACGATCCCTCCCGCGTCTGAGCCGCTCCTCACTCGAGCTCCTGCAGAACCGAACGCACCTTCCTCCCACTTGGGGACGCAGCTGCCCAGGGAGTAGCAAAGCCCGGAAACCTGACACACAACAGGCAAAAAGCACAGAGATCCTCCTGGGGATGTTGAAAGCAAAGGAGGAGGTGGCTTGATCCCCCTGTGGGGTGAACGGGAACCAGTGCACGAGTGGGAGCCGGAGCGCAGGTGGGGGAACAGCGTTCTGGGAACCAGCGGCAGCATTCAGCCTGCGTGGCTGCAACATCCTGGTTGCCAACAGCACCCTTTTACCCCCCTCAGGCCGGCGGGGACAGATGGGGAGCTGCGGCAGCATCACACGTGTTTCCTGCGCTGCCCTGCTGAGGGGAGCTGGCTGGAGCAGTGTGTGCGCACCCAAAGGAAAGCGGGGAGACGGGGGCAGCGATTGCTCAGTGGCTGAGTCGTGCTGTCTTGCACGCAGTCGTCTCCTGGGGGCTGCTGCCCCACAGCAAGTTTGGGCCTTGGGACTAGGCTGTCTAAGGTGCAGAGGGCACAGCAAGGTACAGCTGGACACCATGGGGATGCAGGAGAGAGAATCCAGGTATCCAGCCCTTGAGAGCCAGGGACCCTGTAGACAGGATGCTCCAGAGGGCTTTCGCTCTCATAACCACCTGGAGAAGGGGACTGCACTCCACAAGGGTTTATCTACTCTCTGGTGACTGGAAAGCTCTTGCATTTGCTCTCCTGGGCAGCCAAAGCCCCGTGGCATTGCTCAAGATCAGGGCTCCCCTCTGCTCCCACCACACTCCCAGAAAGCCTCAGTTGTCCCATACCCAGCGGATCAGAGGGCATCTCCTGCAGGTGCAGTGTGGTCACCCTTTGGTGACCCAGTAATCAGATGTAGCTGTTAGTGAGACTGACAGACAGATCCTACACCGACTACTGAGCAGCCAAGAGCACCATGTCTCTGCCAGGTCTCCACCTCGGCTGTAGGCAGGGCTGGCAGTGAGCAGAGCAGCTTCCCCTGTAAAGAGAAGATATGGGGCAGGGGAGGGGATGGCTGATGGGGAGGGGTGGCTGGGGGCAAGTGGGTGCCTGTGGCAATGTTTTGTTTCGAATATCCCATTGAACACCAATGTCAGGTGGCACTGGGGTCTCCTGCATGTCCGTTATGTGGTGGGTTCCCATCTCCATGCAGCACATGTTCCCAAGTTGTCTCCTTCCTCCAGGCAAAAGGCTGCCCGCATGCCCTGGGGCCAGGCAGGGCTCCTCTCATGCCTTCTCCTTGGTGCTAGCTGGGGTGTTCTCTACACACATGGTCCCAAAGGCATCCGCTGGCCTGAGCATCTGCAATATGGTCCCATCTTTGCCAGCACACGTGTGCCATCACCCAGGGCAGCTTCCTCTCATGGTGGGAGAGGAGCTGGGCTGATAGTAAAGCTGCAGGTCTGGGGGCTCCTGTGCAGCAGGGTCAGGGCCAACTTGCCTGTGCCTTTATAGGGTGGCACAGGGGCTGGTGGGCACAGCAGTGGGGCCCAGCACTCCACCTCAGCACCCCACAACCACTGGGGCTTCTTGCAAGGCACCTTCCTGGCCAGCAGCCCTGTTCAGCTCAGGAGACACAAGCAAGAGCAGCCACTCCCCGGCTCAAAGGGTTCCCCTCCCTCCTGGCACCACCACTGCCTCCCAGCCTGTGGTCAGGGGCAAGCAGTACTGGGCAATAATGCAGTCACCAAAACCATACCCCCTGGCCAGTACCTGCTTGTAGACCTCCCCCAAAGTGCTCTGTAAATGGACCCACGATGCCCCTCTGTGCACCTCAGAGAGGCACCATACCTGTCCATCTCCACCAGATAGGAAATGTGTCCCGGGTGCGCAGGGACCTGGAAGGCTGCAGCGTCCTGATGCTCCCAAGCTGCTATCAGCGTGATGTGGCTCCGATGCTGCCAGCCTCGTGGCCCTGTGTTCTTCTGGGGCCACCACCGTGTCACTGCTTTTAGTACAGCAAGAAGCAGAGTCTGAATTCCCCTTCCCGTGCTGGGACATCTGCGCTGGTGTCACGCAGCCACGCAGGGACAGCCCCGGCTGGCTGCTGGCTGGGGGCACGCTGCAGCTTGCAGGAAGGAAATGATGTGCAGCTCAGCCCTGTCAAAGCAGGAGCACAGGGATTTTTAGCGGGGTTTCTCTCCCTGCTGCTGTCTCTCTCAATCTTTTCTCATGTTCTGGAAATGAAACAAACTCGGGCTCCAGCCCTTCGTGCTGCTATGGGTGCTGGTGACAGCCCTTCTCCTTCGCTCCCCCCCGGATGCTATAGGGACTTTTTAGCGCAGGCCAGCTCTCCCCCACCACAAAGGAAGGGGCTTTCTGCTCCCTCCTGCCAGCAGCTGGGCTTCCTACCGGCTGGGCTAAGGGAACAGGAGGCAGGCTGAGCAGCCACAGCGCTGTGCTTAGAGCAGGAGTAAGCCCCTGGCTGCCCCTCGAGCCATCCCTCCTGCCGTGAAGCACTGATTTTGAACCACGAATGGATGCAGCCAGTCTGGAGCATGGCAAGTGATACTTAGTGGCTGCTCAGACCGTACAGATTCTCTCTTCCTGGCTTGCTGCTGCCTTGCAGGTGGCCATGGGCAAGTCCTGCTGCTCCCTGCAGCAGTTTCCCCTGTATAAAAAAGTGAATATAAATAAAAGTGAATAAATAAAAAAGCTATATAGAAAGTGATTAACAATTCCTGGATGCTCCATAATCTTCTTGTTCAACTCTTGCGTGTGCAGGGAGGTGCTTAAGAGGTGCCAGGGATTTCCTGTGGCATTTGGTGCAATGAGTGAACGTGGCATCATCCAGGTGGGAAGGGCTGGCAGCCTGGGCAGAGCCAGCCGGCAGTTTGTGCCCAGCGGCATAGGGATGAAGCGTGGCAAGCCCATGAGGAGGGGACTTACCCAGGGCATGTCTGTGGAAGAGCAGGGATGGGCTCTCGGTACTTCCCCTTGGATTGCCAGTGCCACACAGCACGGGCAGTTTTGGTGCTCTCTGCCCATGCAAGTGCTGGGAAGAGGCTGGAGAAGGACTCTTCATCAGGGATTGTAGTGACAGGACAAGGGGTGATGGGTTTAAACTGAACCAGGGGAAGTTCAGGTTCAGGTATAAGCAAGAAGATCTTTACTGTGAGGGTGGTGAGGCACTGGTGTGGGTTGCCCAAAGAAGTGTGATAAATGTTCCATCCCTGGCAGTGTTCAAGGCCAGGTTGGACAGAGCCTTGGGTAACATGGTTTAGTATGAGGTGTCCCTGCCCATAGCAGGGGTTGGAACTGGATGATCTTAAGGTCCTTTCCAATCCAAACCATTCATGATTCTATGATTCTATGGGTGGCTGCTGCTTCTGAGATACTCTGCATTCCGGAGAAGCTGCCATGAGTCACTTGCTCTCACATACACACAGAAAAAGTCCCAGAAGATTAAACATGGCTCTCTTTGCTCTGAGTCATTTTTATCTGCCCCATCACCGTACTGAGTTCTGGGAAACAGCCAGTGCCGTCGGCGTGCACGCGGGGCCTTGGCTCTGGCCAAGCAGGGTTCTCTGGGGCTGTCAGGGGCAGGAGTGCGTTCCGGCTTCCCCACCGTGTTTGCACGGGAGGACGGTGCCCTGGCGCTGTCTCAAGGGGAGGTTTGGGAGCAGGCAGCTGTGCTCAGGCTGTGCCTCACTGCGGGCAGGGCTGGAACGCTGGTGCCTCTCCATAGGTCTCGCAAAGGCACAGCCTTCTGTGGGGCGATGCTGATGCTTTGCAGTGGCACCCGCAGGGGTTTGCAGAGCCCAGGAAGTGCCAGCGCTGGCAGTGTCACCCCTCTTTGGGAACATGGGCTCCAGCTTAGCAGGCTCTGCCGGCTGGGAGCGGGCTCCATGCAGATTCCTGGTTGTTCTCAGCACGCTTCTCTCTGCCCTGGCTCTCGTGTGCCTGCACAAAGCTCCCCACTGTGTGCAGCAAGAGATGGGAGCCGAGCCCGCTGCCCAAGTTACCTCCAAGTGTTCTGTTTCACACTGAATTTCCCTTCCCACAGCCTTATTTTAATAATATAGGGGGGGTCTGCTCATTTGGGTCCCATCTCTTATGTCTCTGGGTTAGGAGCCGGGAGCTGCCTCCCAGTACCTGAAAATGGTCAAACCCAGCAACCGGGCACCTACCAGTATCACAGCCATCAGCTGTGACTGTGCCCAGGCTCCTGTCACTGCAGCCCCCAATGGAAGCTTTGCCTGACTGCCCTCCGTGACCCCGGATGTTGTTACCCCATAGTGCCTGGAGCATCCCTGCCAGGGTTACAGGCAAGAAGCCTCTGTGCTGCACCCAGACCTGGAGCACCCTTCCTGACAACCAACGCCAACCCTCCCACAAGCCCATCCTGAACTGTCATCCCCCCCCCCCCACTGCTCCCTTCATGGTCACACTGTTTGCTTGGCCACGTTTTCCCCATGTGCTCCTTTCTGGAAAAGACACCTTTTCCAGCCTTTCCGGGTGAGCACGGTCTCACAGCACAGGGAGATTCCCAGGCACCACGACTGGAATAAAGTCACGTCCATACTGCAGAGGACACTGGTGCCAGAAGCCCAGCCCGGATCTCCCATGTGTCTCCCAGACCTCCGGACAACCTTTCCCCTCCAGCCCTCAACAATATCCTTTCGCTTCACCTCACCAGGACAAAGTGATGCAGAGCAGGCAGGGCATCCCCACGTGTGACCTACTGCTTGTTTTGCCCCAAAATAATTACTGGAACATGAAGGACAGGTTGTTGCTCATCTTCCTCACACAGAAAGGGAGCCCCAGGCTGGTCACAGAGCCAGCAGCCAGGGTACAAGCAGGAGGAAATGTGTTTCTCACTGGCTCTTTGCCTCTCCTGGGGGGGGGGGGAAGCACTTTCTGCCCCGGTTCCTGCTGTGTCAGCCCCTCAGTGACTGCAGGAAGGAGTGGGCAGCCCCTCAGTGGGCTGGGGTTTTACAAGGGCTGAGGGGAAGTCCCGCTGCGTGCTCCTTGCTGTGCCGTGGCCAGACCCAGCTGCCTGGGATGGTTTTCTCCCTTGGGCCTGGGGCTGCAGTAAGGAGAGGGGTGGAAAGAGAGGGGGTGTCCTCAGTGAGGTGGTGGGAACTGGCCCCTCTCTAAGAGCCTATGGACGTGGGGTGCTCCTGCACAATGAGCCCATGGGACGGGGATGCTCAGGGTCAGTCCAGGGCTGTGCTGGGCTACATGGGACAGTGGGACACTGGGGAATGTGTTCCCACATCCACTGGGATTACCTCTACCCAAGGGTCTCATCTCCTGTGTGCTGTCCCATTGCCTACCAGTTCCACCTGCTCCACAGTAAGGATTCACATTTGGGATCCCAAAACACCCATCCATCCACCATCCCCACTGCCTCCCTCTGTCGCTCAGGCACCAAACCCTGCGACACGGATGCTTCTGCACACACTGGGACTGTCACCAGAGGGGTCACTGCTCCTGTTGCACTCTTGCTGCCCTCCAGCATGATTTATGGGCCATTTCCCTGCGCTGCTCGCCCAGCAGACGCCGGGACCACGCAGGGCGTTCCCCTTCATCTTCCTGCCTTCGTGAGCCGAAGGAGAGCCGTGTGCTGGCGTGTGTGCATCAGCACGTGTGTGCGTTTTGGGGGGCAGGGGGAGGAGATTTCCTGGGCTTTTAAAAAGAGCTATTGAAAACGTGTGAGTTTGGAACAGAAGGCATTGGTGCAAACGTTCCAGGGCATCTTCTCTGAGCTGTGCTGCAGGACCCCCGGAGAAGAGGAAAAGGGTGAGGAACAATAGGTAGGAGGAGGACACCCAGGGATCACCCCAACCCTCTCCCTCCCATGTGGCTCAAAGCAAAGTTGTGTGGCTATACCATCACTGCTTGGGGGCACAGGCACCCAGGGAACAGGGATACACCTCTCATATGTTCATGCATCCATCCCTGGCTATTTTCTCACCTCCAGCCCTGTCCCTTCAGGCTCCCAGTGCCGGGGGGTATGGGGAAGCTTCTCCTACTTCTCAGCAATAAAGAAGCTGCACCCTGAAGGCAAATTTCCCCTTAAGTCTCCATTTCCTCAAGCTATGCAGGCTGACAGGTTAGGAAGGCGGCTCCAGCCCCAGGTACAAGCCCAGTCAGACCTGCAGGGGTAATGAGGGCTCTTGTAGCCTGGGCAGCAGCATGGTGCTGGCCTGCAACCTGCTCTTCGTCCCCTCTTCAGTGAGAGGGAAGGTGGGACCAGGCAGAGACCGCACCTAAATTCCACTTCCTCTGCAACCCTCCCTTTCCTCACCTCACTCCTGGACACAGACACAGGCCAGGACACGAGCCAGGACGCCGGGTCCTGCAGTGGCACTTACTGCTGCATTGCCCTCCCTTTCCTTTTGTTTTTTCCTCTCCTCCTGTCACTGCCACCCCAGGGGAAGAGGGGGAGTCCATGGCTCGCACGCTTCTCTTCGCACTAACCCGCTCCTAATGTCTTTGAGCAATTCTCCGGCGCTCTGACTGTGCCTGTAGGTGTTGGCTTTAAATCATCATCATCTCCTGTGGATTACAGCAGCTGGATGAGAAGATAAAGGCTTTTCTCTCCTCTTGCCTTTCTCATTTCTTCCTTTTCACTTCTCCCGGTGAAGCCAGAGCGGTTCCCAGCCAGCAGGCATGATGCTGATGGGAGCCCTGCGCAGCCTCCTGTTCCTCTGCCTGGTTGAGGAGGGCATCAGCAGAGTCAGAAGATACTACATTGCTGCCGTGGAAACTGCCTGGGACTACATGCACAGCGACCTGCTCTCCGTGCTGCAAGCGCCTGCAGGGTAAAGCTCTTTCTATGGCAATTCCAGATCCCTGCTATAGGTGTTCTCCCACCCTGCATACACAGCACTGTGAGCTTGGGTCCAGGATGGTGCATGGGGGCAGCCTGGGGGGGGGGGTCACTGAGCTGTTGGTACAGGTGGGAATGGGTGTTTCTGTGCAATGGGGAGTCACTAAGAGCAACCCCTAGTAATGCAATATGGAATAAACATGCAGAGAGAGACAAAGACTTATTCTGCGCTACTACTCTGCACTGCTTGATCTTAATGTCATTTGCCTG